ATCCCGGCCCCGCAGGGCTCTGCCGGCCGCCCCCCTCCCGGGCTGTGCCTGCGGGGCCGGGGGTCCCCGGGGCAGCCTCCGGGGCTGGCACCTGCTCTGCGAGCCGGGTCCTGCTGGCAGGGCTGTTCTGCGAGCAAACCCGAGGCCTGCCCTTGGAGAGCTGGCAGGATGAGGCCTTTATTATTTTTTTTTTGCAGGGTGCTGGCTGGCTGATATTTACATAATATCTCCGCTTAAATGTGACCTCGTCCCTAATTGGAGGCTTCCTTTCCATTTTCTATGGCAACACTACAGAACAGATCACTCCAGGGGGCTGGATCAGAGGAGTATCTGCACACACTGTAATTTTTCTCCCTTGGTTCCCCATCAAGTCTGGTTTGTTCTAGTGAATGGATGAGATTTAAAAAAAAAGTTCTTTCCATCAGCCCTTAAAGCAGTGGCTAGGCCTGCAAGTCACTGCAGATTTGCAGGATCTCTAAATTAAAGGAGGATGAACACAGGCTTAACTAACAAGAGTTAGCTAGCAAGCTACTAGCTTGCTACTAGCAAACAACTAGCAAGAATTATTTTTGTTAGGTATTTATGTATTTACTAGCCTGCCTGATGACTTCCATGCACCACACTGCCTAATCAAACAATTAGAAGAAGTGATGTTAATTATAAATGACTGTATTTATTTATTTTAAAATTAACAGAATTATTAGAAGAAGAGAGAAAAGAAATTCTAGCAAATTTTATAAGGGGGAAGGAATTGAGACCCACTTCATTCAGAGATTCTTTTTGCTCCATGAGATCCCTGCCCTATGCTTCGAGCCCATCATGTATACACAGTAATGTCTCTTCTTAACGGTTGGTCTCACTGACAGTAAGCTTGATGTGCCAATATATTTGTGCAGGAGTTGGATTCTGTAACGCTTATTGGGGTCTGCTGTTTTTCATCTCTGTGAGATGCCAGGTTTGGTTTCAGGTTTTATATGGCTAGGGGTGAATATCTTTGTGTTGGTTTCTAAAACCTGCTGAAAATAAAGGTTTTGTGATTGTAAGATGCACTAATTCATGATGCATTCAGGCAGGAAGGTTTTTCTAAAGACTTTTAAAGTCTGCCTTAATTTTTGAGACAGTGTTTTTGCTCTGCATTGAAAAGACACATTCCTTACTATTAATAATGCTAAAATTAGTTACTGTGATACAGAAACTGGGATACTCTGTATGGATTAGAACATTTGTTTTCAGTCTCTGCTCTGTTTGTACTTTTTGGTCCCCTGGGATGACTGTTTCTTGCACCTGAGGTAGTGTGGGGTCTTTTAAGGTTTGTGTTTTTTGCTTTTGGATGAGTGCATGTAGTTAGGTTGTTAATATGAATCTAATCTTTGAATAGATACACTGGAGATTTAAACAGAAGGGCCAAGAATCTTGGATTTCATGGAAGAGGTGGTTCTTCTTATGGGTGGAGAGACCACTGTTTGGAGAGGTGCTCCGCAAGTTCAAGGCGCCGCCCCTAGGACTCCTTCACTGAGTAGCTTGTCTGCTACAGGCTGAGACACAAGTACTGGAAGAGGCCATTGGGGTAGAGATTTGCCTAACATATTGAAGTTCTCCTGCACATAGATAAAGGCTTTTTATTTCCATTTGCTTTTTGGAAATGCCCTGAGCAATGCTCACTCTCCACTTAAATTAATGTTCCTTTAGTGTCTTAGATTGTCAATACAGGAATGCAAGAGTTGGAAATACCCTCCAAAGAGGCCATGTGTTGAACTTGTAGTATAAGTGAGGTTTGAATTGAAAGAGATGTGCTCTGTTAAAATGTTAATCTAAGGACACAGTGATGGAGCAGAGGTTCCTCAAGATTCTTCTCTTGAAGGTCCATCTCATTCAAGCTCACATTTTGTTTTCCATAGTTAGTGCATTAATATGCACATCACCACCTTCACTGCAGTTCATCCTAGCTCTGCTGTCAGTTTCTGCTTTTAAGTATTATTTGTCAGTTTGCAAATGTTTATAGTTACTTTCTTGTATAGATTTTTTCTAGAAGAACATTTTGGTGAGATTATGATAGAAGATGGGAGATGTAGGAGTAGCAAGTATATGAGGAAAGAAATGGACCTGGGCCGTATTTCTGGATAGTGTAAGGCCAGATGGAGGTGGCATAAATATGTGTCAGGGAACAAAAAATACTGAAGAATGTGAGATTGGATTGCCCCCTTTCATAAAGCAACGTTGGTTACATGCTGCCTCTGTGTAAGAGAATATTTGGACAGGTACCACTGATTATTGTGTCTCCATTTATTAACTTTGAACCAAAGTTGCTCTGCTATCAAGCAAAGAAAACATCAAACCCTTCCTCATGTCCTTGTCTGTAATCTTGATTTTTTTCTCTTAATTTTCCTTAACTGTTCTGCTTCATTTTGAAGGTACAATATTCAGCCTTAATTGCAGCTTTGTGAATGTACAAACACATTCCACCTCTCTTGTTTTTCATTAAAAAAAGTTCCATATTTAGAACAATTGTTGATTTAGTGTACTTACTGCAATGTTACTCAGCATTAGTAAGAAAATCAGTTTCATGGTCATTGTTTTCTTCACATGTTACAATAAAATGTCTTGAGTTAATCATCTCAAAATGTGGTAATAGGGAAAAATATATAGTACTTCAATAAAAGTGATACAGATTCCTTATCAGTGGGGCAAAATGAAAGCACCGTAGTAGTTTAAACTAGTTTTTAATTTATTCTTTTTTCCACAATACTTCCATCCTTTGAGTATTACTGTAAATCATAGAACTTTGGCAGGTGGAATGCTTTTGTAGGTCTTTCTTAGAGATCACTAAAACTTGGTTGGTTACTGCCTTGCTTGCAGTATTTAATCTCTTTGTCTTTTAAGAATGGCAGCTGAAGAGAAGCTTCTGCCGTGTGCTGTGGTAGGTGAGGCCTTCCCCTTTTCCTCTCAACACAATCCAAGCTCATAGATCTGGCATTTAATTCCACAGCTACCTCTGAATTTGATGCATTCTTTCTTTACCATACAGGCTCTCAAACACATGCACAAATGCACATGAAGAGCCAGATGTATTTGGGAAGCTCCCACCTGGAGCTGTTAAGTTAGAGAGGAATGGATAAGGAGCTTGATGTAGTGAGGAATACAGTGGGAATTTTATTATTTTATTTTTGTTCTGTTAGTTCACAGAAACTTGTAGTCACTCTGTATCTTGTTCACAATGGGAAATTAAAATGAAGACAAATATATAGAGTGGTAATTTCTAATTTATCTTCATATTCTTGGTTTTAAGAGAGGGTTGCCTAATACACATTTTATAAAAATATAAACATACATACACATAAAATTGTTTTGGTGCTGTCCTGTTAACATGCTGAATAATCCAATAAACTGAAACCAGCTTCTGGAGAAGAAAGTCTTAAATTGAAGCAAAAATCACTTAAATTGTGAAATGTTTAGAAGTAATTAATAGACTTTTTTATAGTAGTTATGTCATCCTCAAAAAGCACAGTCAACATTGCTTTGCTTTGTTTTGACTTTGTTTTTAGTGGAAGTTGGCTGAAGGACATCTTTGCTTTGTTCTGATAATAAGTGAACTGGGATGTAAATATTAGTAATAGTGTTTCTTGAAGATTTTTTAAAAACTTACATATTTAATCTGCAAGCTGGCATTCTGTAATCAGTGTAAAATTAAGAAAGAAGCTATTTATATTTAATATATTTGTTGATGCATTACTTACTTGTTCCCTGCTAAATGCTGAATGTAGCTACAACTGTAGGAGGATCAAGATGTCTCTCCAAACTCTTTGAAGTTTCTGTTCAGTTTTCTTCTCACTTTTAGCCCATCTTAACACCATGTTGCCTATTTTCTAGCACCCTACCGTGACATGAAGGGAAATGAGAGCTGTTTTACAAAGTATGTTTTTTCATATTTTCTAGTGCCATTTAAATTTAACTTGCATTTGACAAGACATTATTATTGAAAGCTTTGAGCTGCCCTTGTGATAGCTGTTACCTTTCTATCCAGGAAGGAAGTCTCAGTAGAGTCACACAACTGCATTTTGCAGTTTCACTTTTGATTTAGTGCTGATGCTAAGCATGTGCTGCAGGTGAAATGCTTGGCTTCCTGGTGTAACCTCAATAAATGGTGTCTCTTTGGCTATGGTCAGCATAGTTATCAGCCTTCATTATGGGCACTGTCTGCATATCTGATGACTTTGACTTTGCTGTGCAGGTGAGGAGGTGATTTTTTATTTTTTTCCTGTGAGTATAACATACTAAAATTTAATCCTAATATTATCTATTTATTTTAAGATGAGGTGAGCCAAGTGGCATGTGTTACTGTTGTTATTATTATTGTTTATATGGTAAGAGTAAGTGTGAGCCATTGCAGAACAATCCTCTGTGCATTTTCCCAAAATTATCTTATTCCTCTTCCTCAACAGTCAGAGCAAGGAACATCATATCTAACTAAAGTAGACTATTTTACTAAGACTTTCCAAAATGTCACTGATTATGAGGCTGACATTTTATTTTCTATTTCTGTTTTCTATCTAGAGCAGTAGCCAGCATCTTTATTTACTGCTCTGTAATGCTTCTGTTTATGCAAAAAAGTGTCCAATATTTTGCATTTCTTCTCACTAGCTCGCATTTGAAGTACCAACCAAAGGTAGAAGCCTTGTTTCCTTGTGAACTGCTAATTCTCTGAACAAGCTTATTATCCATGTTTATAAATACTTGTGGTGATGTGATACATGTCTACCCTGAATCTAAACAGGACATGTTTCTAGGGTGAAGGTTTTACTTTGTGAATGTGGTTCTCATTCTCTTTGAGTCCCTAAGATGCAAGTACTTCTCTGATTTTGGAGTAGCTGCTTCCTGTAGTACTTCCTGCACTATTTGGATGTCCCTATCAGAATGGAGAGAGTGTGTTGGGAAGTGCTTCTTCTCTAAAGTACTTAGAAATGAGAAGTGAAATCCCAAAAATAGAGCTGTTTTTCAATATTAAGGTGTAAAACAGCACTTCCACAATGCTTTTACCTTACGTTGATATACTTGTTAGGTATAGACTATATTATAATTTAGTAATTTAGTGTGGCAGACTTTTATTTCTCATAAAAGAATTAATTATTTTTTCCTCTTGAATCCCTGTCTAGACTCCCTAGTTTTTAAACAAAAACAAAAACAAAATTCTGAAAATACATTTTAACCTATCTTCTTATATTGATGTTCTTTGAGATGCATTCACTTCGAGAAGACTAAGTGATAACTTACCTGCACTATGGCAAAAGAAAATAATTCAGTTGACCAGTAAGGATGATGGACTTAATTCTCACAAAGGCAGACT